AAGAAGCCTTCTTGCGAAATCAGTAAAACCTGAAACATTAAGAACAATTATACGGACAATTAGGATGGCCTGGTTGCGAGCCTGAGAGTTCTAGACAGACCTTCCTAATTGGACCCATTTACAATCGTGGAATTTCAATTGCTGTCCGATACAAAAGCCGCTCAGATAAATGGAATTCCAAGGTGGAGCGAGCAGTTCCTCGAGCGACAACAGCTCGATGACCGACACGCAGTATAACTGCCGAAACAAGTGCACTGTTATCGAAAGGTGGCGATGGCTTGAATGCAAGAGCGTCGGGCAGTGAAGCATGTGTGCACGTCAGCTCGAGAACTCGAGGGTGACACGTCAGAACATTAGTTCCTGGGGGAGGGGGGGAGCTATGATAAACCCAATTTCTCGGAAAGGTACAGTAAGGTATGGAACGGATGTACGGGTTTTTCCTAGCAAGGTCCGGAACATCGAAAAAAAAACTCCATTCTCCAGCGTTTCCAGGAATTTCCACAGATGAATGTCACCCGAGGAAATTGCTGCGTGGAGGTTTCTTTTTTTCTTCCTTTTCTAAAGCGAGGAGTGCTATCGGCGCACGATTCTCCCCATTTTTTTTTCCTTTATTCGTTCTTTCTCGCCGATTTTCTGGGAATGGGTGAGATAGGATGAACATCGAAAAATCAAGGAATAGACATTTCGACTGCGGGACTGCGGCTTTTCGTCGGAGATGAGGCGGGGGGGGGGGGGAAGAACATACTTTGTCCTTTCCATCCTTTGCACTGCTTCCCTCTTACCCTTCACTGTATTCCTAGAAGAAAACACGAATGCATCGATGCGGAGGGCGCAAGAGAGTAAGCTTAGTATTAAAAAAAAATTATTAGTCAGGATAACAAAGCTTTTTTTAAATTCTATAATCGATTCTCTAATACGGAACCGATGATCCGCACACGTTAGATTGCTTCTATGTAAACGGCGCAGAACAGTTAATCTTTTATTAGTATATTAATTATTTCTAAAACAAGCCTGAAAATGGAAAATTGGGTGAGGGGCGAGGCTCGGGGGAATCGATGAACAGCAGGGATCCGCCCAGACGAGGAAATTTCTAAGCTAGAATCTCGTCCTGTAGTCCATCGCATTTCTGGGGACCAGGGTGCACCTAACCAGTCGCTGTCCGGTACATCCACTCAAAAAAAAAAAAAAAACCACTTCTGAACGTAGATGGCTTCGACCGGGTCATCCTCGTTAGTAGGCCCAAGAACGATATGCAGATATAAAAATTGTCACCGACTTTGGAAAGAGATGGAAGCGGTGGGAGAGGGCTGCACGAGCGGCTCGTCCTCGCATCGCTTGCATCCGACAGAAATTTTCCATCACTGCGAGTTTGTGGATCGATGAACGAGTAGGGGGTGCCAAGAACCTCCGGGTCCCGACGGGCCACGCATTGGACTTCATCATCAGCAGGTACAACACGAGATCACTTCTTCAGGAATCCTGTCTTTTTGAGCTCGAAGAGGAGTTGGGGATGGGGATTGGGGGGGGGGACACGCACACAAATGCAGCATTCATAATCGCTCATGAAGCAATTACCATCTGAATGATTAAAGTCTATGCTCCTTTGTTCAATCTTAAAGACGAGAGTGCAGAAGGGCTGTACCCAATCTGACAGAGAAGATAGATCAAGTCATAAGCCCATTACGCACGGGAGACTTTAATGGGCAGTTTCAGAGTGATTGGGACAAAGGCGGTATAAAAAATGTTTTCAAAAGTTTCTCTCCAATTTAATTTTCCTGAATTGGAAAATTGAATTGAATGGATACTAAACTTAGACTAAATAAGGGATCCACTAAGCATGCATCACCTGACACGAAGTGGTTTTTCATTTCTCCTGCAACAATTGGATAAATTTAACACTTGCTTCGCGAACCTCGTTTTGGACTCTTTTGTTACGTCAGTAACGCTGGAAAACACTTCTAGCCTCTTCAATCTTGATCAACAAGTACACTGCGCATCAATTGGAGTGGATACTTTAGATTTTCTCGTTTAAAAGTAACTTAGATGGATTCTTGTTGTGAAATGAAAGAGGAAATTCCTTTCAACGTATTATTTACAATTCTACAGAATTACAAATTGAAAACATTACTTCTGTTTTGATACATTTCAGTAAAAGGTAACGGCAGAATTCTTCAATGCCCAAAATACAAAATATCCACTTCAATTGATGCGCAGTGTATCATTTGGCACGAAGAAAGTACAGTCTATGCCTTCGTTCTTGAAAATATGGAAGCCCCAGGTGAAGACAAATCAGACAGAATTGGAATAGAAGCAGCAGAACGAAAACTCTTGTTTAAACTATGTTACGTCAGTAACACGAACTGAAAGGTCTTACTCCTCTTCATCCACGAGAGAGATTAAACATTTTTTGCTGGAATAGGTGGAAGTATCTATGTTCCATAAGGCACTGTTGAAGCAGAATTTCTGGACCAAACCATCTTCACCATCATACTTGTTCAGACTTTGAGTCTGGTGTGACGTCAGAAACTTTGGGACTGCCCTAATGCTCATGTTGGAGAAAGCAACCGGTTAACTTGGGGTCAGACAGAGAAAAGAACGATTTTTGCGAAATTCTCGACCAAGAGGAAGATGAAGACCAACAGAAACATGTCCGATACTTCGCGGTCTTCAACAACTCCAACACCGACGGCCGGCAAGATGAAAGGCTTCCTACGCAGGTGAGAAAACTGTTGAGGACGAAGAGCAGGCAAGTCAGAAATTGAACATCTGACTTGGACTCGCGGAAACAAAATCCAATAACGAAAGAGAAAAAAGGCAAAGCAGAAGGAATCGTGACTGTTCGAGGAATGAAGAGAGACAAGGAGAGGAAGATGATTCGAAGACACGCAGCCCTGCAACGTCATCGAGAAAAGAGCGAGGAAATCAGAGGATGAAAGAAATCAGATTCGACTAGTCAGCATGTGAACCAGAATATAAGTTTTATGCTGAAAATTCAGGGATTAGTACTTACTGGCCTTAAGAGAAGATGAAACCATGACTTAAAAGTCGAGATTCGTTAATCCCTTCTGCAGCTACTTCGTTCGAGGCGCAGTCTTTCAATGTACGAGACATTGAGAGTACACCGGGACAGAGAGACTCCTCTCTGGCCTCCAACGTGTAAAAAAAAAAAAAAAAGTTCCTGTCAGGGTAGAAAAGCTCTCAGGGCCATGAGAAGAAGTACATGGGGGGGGGGGTCTTCTTTTTCTCTCCCTGTCATCCCAGAGACTGACTTCCGCCACCAGTTTTTTTTTACATTTTCTTTCAAGTTTAAACTTCTTGTCATGTTCTCGCTGCTTTTTTTTTCGTTTCGTTCCTCCCTTTCGATGAAGGGATAAGCTCCCGATTTTCGGTCCCGCTCCCAAAAGCTCTTCACTCCTGTCTCGTCTTCTACCACGCGCGAAGAAACGGGAGGGAAATGGAACTCAATTACGCCGTCTTTTCCCTTTTTTCACTCTCCCTGTCTAGCATGGTTTTTCATGTAATCAGGTTACTTCCCGTCTCACTCTCGGAGATTCATCCGGGCTCTCAAGAACTCATTGGTAAGGGGGATCCTTCCCTCATCCTTCGACCCGGGTCGTTTGTAGCGGGAAACGTATGACAGAGACATCAAAAGGGACAACTTCGGTACCTTCCTAAGAGTATTCTCTTAATTTTCCGTCTCATTGGGAATTCTCCCTGACCTTCAGTTATCGGATATTTTTCGTAGTTTCCCGGATAATGAAATAACCAGATATTGACACCCCTACTTCAGATACACCAGGAAGAACGTAAGCATAAGAACGAAAATTACTTAAGTCTCAGGTAAAATATCCGATGAGATACGTTTTTCTCTCCAAAATACGGAAGACCCCACAAGGCCCAGATCGAATCGATAGACACTGAAGGAAACAGAGCAAAAGTATAGCACGTTCTCAGAAGTCAATGCCTCAACAAAACGAAATTTCCCAATCCTTGAACAATACAAGAGAGGAGATAAGACCAACCTAAAACACTACAGCCTCCTATTATGTTTACAAATTTTCAACAAGTTATGACACACACCCTTAATGCAAAATCGACTACGTGAACCTGCAGGATTCGAAAAGCAGATTCTCAATAATCAATCACATACACACGATCTATTGAGTCATACTATTGCGTTTGACATTCATTTGCAAAAAGAAAAAGGGATTCGATTTCATGGAGACTGGTCTTCAAAGGAGACCTTGTCAACAAATGTTAAGGAACTGATACATGAAAATCACCTATAAGATCTATCAGAATGGAAATTCCACCCTAGGACAGCACAAAGAAAGGAGGACAATTGACAATATGATGGCAAGGAGACAATATCTCACTTAAATCATTTGCAGTCAGACTTGAAGGCTCCACTTGAAAGTTGGACAAGAGCAACAAAGGCCAAAATGTGAATGGAGACACTTAAACATCTAAGATTTGCATCATTCCAATAAAGATGACCAAGAAGGAACTGCGAGACCAATTGTCTAAAAGAAGCTGCAGAATTGAACTGAACCTCAAAATTAACATGACAGAAGTCATGTTAATTTTGCAGGATGCAAAATTCAGTGCAGGAAGGAAAGAGTGCCTATGGGAGGTTGAACTCAGTTGCAAAGAGCAAAATGAGCAAAATGCAGCTGTGTAAAAATGAGAAATTGCCTAACCACTGTCATGATGACCTCAAGAAGTGAATAAAGTTTCCTATTCACATTCATACCATGTCCTGCAAAATATCTTAAGATATTTGATTCTCACGATATTTAATATATATCTCAAGCAAGCTAAGAAAAAAGGATACCCTGTGGTCTCATGACAGTGATTCCAACCAATAAAGCCAACAAGAAAAATTTATTCTGATTCTGGAAACACTCACTTACATTAATGAACTTTCTGAAATCTACAGGCTTAGCCAAAGCTATGAGGACAAATTTTCTTGCAATTATATGCATCTCATAATAACTATTCACCTTTCATGCATCAGAGAAAAATATTGCACCACATGAGAACATATGAAAGCAAGGGATTTATATGGTTTCAAGCATCTGACTAGTCCCAGTTGAACAAGGTACAGATGTCACTGTCACAGGAAGATAGGGAACAAAGACTGTTGTTTTTTTTTTCAACTCATCCCATCCCTGGGCCATGAAGCTGGATGAATCCTTCCAAGTCAACAGGGACAGTCCCGTGATATGCTATGTGGAAGTTGTTAACAGCTTTGGCTGCAAGGCACTTGAGGCTCAACTGCATCTGAGTCTTTAGAATTATCTCAGCCACACCTGACAAAAATTTCATAGATGCAGCAAGACAGCATATAAAAAAAGAGGGAGAATGGTATGATTCTTGTGACTGACCAGTTGAAGCTGCTTGGAATGGGGTCTTGCCTTTCACATTCACCACATCCACATGTGCTCCAGCTGACAGCAGAGACAGGATGATGTTGTGCAAGGTCATGAAATCACTATCCAGACACAAATAAAATTTTTAAGCACAAAAGAGACACTAACATGCACTGAAGGAATGGAAAAACCTTCTGCAGCTAATACAATGAATATGTTGATCACCAGCTTCATGTGCAGCAACCTTGCCAGTTTTCAGTTGCTTTTTAACAGATTTCTTTCAGTCCAGCATATTTAAAAGTGGCTACAAAACTAAGCCTACTATGGGAAGATGGCAAGTAGAAGTCCAACATGGAAGCTTGCAATTTTTTCAAATTAATGTTGCACTTCTTATATTCCATTAAGAATGCGATGATTTGTTGTACTCTATACAAAAGCAACTTGAGTAGGTTTTCAAGATAAAGACACTACTGAGTGATAAAGACATACAGGATGGGGTGAAAGTGAGGGAACATAGGAATTTTGGAGGAATTTAATTTTCCTCTCTGCTTGTCCTTACTCTAATGCCCATAGCTCTCAACATCTTTCACTTTGATTGTTGCAGTTGTATGGACACTTGGGCCAGAAGTGCTGCCTTGGTCAGTTTCTCCTATTGTGCCCATTTCTTTCTTTGCATCAAGAACACTGCTGGTTTCCTGGAATTTTGCTATTAAATCCAAAATGCAGTGGATCGACAGTCTTGGCCTATTTGGATGTCTTTCATGGTAATCATACTAGTTTGCTATAAACTGTATCACCAACTCCGCTCATTTTTTGGTTTAATACCATTGTTAAGTTATTTCACAATACTCAGTCAAATTATAGCAAACTCAAGCATGGAGGTCACCAACATGAAAAACTATGGAAATGACACATTATCACCAAAATTACTGCACTTTTTTCCAGTGGGTAATGGCAGTTTATTTCCAACCAATTTCGGCAGATGCAGGTGGGAGCACTCTTCACTGACTTCAACTACTGCATGCCAAATAAATGAAAAGGAAGTATGGAAATGCACTGCCATCAAGCAGTCACTTTGAAAATTAAATTCCCTCAAAATTCCTATGTTCCCTCAATTTTGCCCCACCCTTTATAACAAATATATACTAATTTGGAAAATTACTATAAGTTTCTCCACTTCCTTTTTCATCAGCATCCAGCAGTGTAAAGGGGAGTGTGTCTCTCCTCCTATTCATTGGTTTGCATCAGTGATCTACCAAATAAGTGCAAAAGTTTTTGAGCAGATTAAAAAATTGAAAAATATCTCCTGGGTTTCTGCCCATAGTAAAGAAGAATTATGGAACAGTAGGGGTTCAGAAATCTAGGTCTTTAGTATTCAAAAGCTAGAGATGGTGTTGACAATAGTCAAGCAGGTCCAGGTTTATCAGAACTCAAAAAGGGCTTCCTCCTTTAAAAGTCACAAATCAAATAAAACATCAACAATGAACTTGTGATTTTTGGTGAGTTGGTCTCCAACTTATTGCATAAACCCAAGCCAAAGGATCCATCTGCAAAATGCTAATTGATCTGTGAAGGGTTACCCTCAGCCATTTCCATAGTTGATTTCTCAAAGGCCTTGATCCTTTGCTTAAACCAAAGAGTTACAGGTCAGGATCTTGCGAGATATCTACTAATCTTTATCATGTGAAACACAGGACAAAATTACGTAAACATATGGCAACCAGAAGGAATACATCCAATTGGTATATCAATAAAATAAGGGAGTAAAGGCATATAATTTACAGAGGTCAAATGAAGCAGCTCAGGACAGGAGGAAATGGCAGGTACATGGGAAGGTCTTCATTTACCAGTGGGCAGAGAATGACCTGATGATTCTGCTACTTACTAGTTGGCTTTAGATTCTTGGGCACTATGCACAGGCATTAACCAACACTTGCACTCATACCCAACTAATATCCACCAGAAAAAAAGGCTTGGTACTAGTAACTGGCACTAGTATAATATAAGTTAGAACCTGAGCAAATGTCCCTTATAACTGTTGGCTAAAACTATTGAAATGACCTCAGATTCTATTGCACATGAATTTCTCCAATGAATATAAGACTGGGAAGATGGGAAAATTAACCTGATGGCATTGAGGTACCCAACAATGAGATGAAGAGGTGTGTTTCGGTCAGCATCCATTGCATTTACATCAGCACCGCATTCAATCAGCAGTTGAGCAGTAGTATCACAGGGAAATCTGAAGGGGAAATGCCACCAACTTCACTTAAATTATGAGTGAGGAAGTAGGGGGAGAAAAAACAAAATGCTGCAGACCGGCAGACATCATTAGTGTGAAAGTCATCAACAGGAGTAGAGGCACAGCATGCCAAGTGAAGGAGGCTTCGTCCTTGTCTTGTCTTCAATGGAATACGATTGAGACGATAAATGATCTGCCGGACAGGGCACTGGGTCCTTTCATCACCTTCTGGGAACTTCAATTGACCTGCTATCACCAATAGGTACAGCACTGTGTGCATGTTGCTCTCCAGCTCATCCTGTCAAACAAAAATATCAAAAGCTCATCTTCAAGGTTCAGAAAGATCAACTTTTATATGCAGTGATGTGTCACAGTAACTAGGATATGTTTAAATATTACCAAATTTTGTAATTCACAACAAACATTCCCAAATTTGCATTTAGTCATTCCTTTCTCTTATCAACAATACCATACTGATACCCAGAATGAAGATATGATAATGACTTTAAAAATGTAGTAAATTTGAAGCTATTGAAAGTGATTATGGGAATTCTTTTTTCATTGAATATTTGAGGATGTATACAGCAATCAAAGATCCTGATTTCAGCTTCAGAAGTCATTGATATAAAATATTGTTTTTGTACCAATTTCCTCATGGAATGTGAATGGAAACTTTTCCCTTAAACTGTGAACACATCTTGTACATAAAATAAAACAAGTCCTTTTAATAGAAAAACATTAGCCACTTCATCCAACAGAAATGGAATCCACTGGCTTATGTCATTGGTATAGTGACAGTGTCTTCACAAAAAAAAATCCTAGTTTACCTGTTCCCCTTCTCAAAAAATGTCATCATGCCCACTATCAAGTAGAAAGGGCACCTCCCTCAGAGTTCAATCTCAGACCATGCATAGGCAGGCAAGTGGAGTGGGGATGTGGACCTTTCCTTTATACCAGGGCCATAATCAAGTCAAATCAGCAAAATGGGATAGTGCATGCATCAGATTCTATCATCATGAATTACCAGTCTGCATGGTCAATTGCAGTGCTCATGCCTGCTGTCTAAAGAAGAGAAAAATGCATGTGATTGAGAGTCACATTATTCTTTAGGAAGCACATGATTTTTAAAAGGTTGCCACTTCAAAACACCTGTGAGCCTCGTTGTAAAAAATATCTTAAAAGGGTACACTTGCCATGGCCTCATTGATGTCTTCAGCATTTGAAGTCAGAGAGTGAAGCCGCTGGTGGTTGCGCTCAAGTTCATCAACACCTGCTGACAGGACACTAAGAACATGGCCAGAGGTCAACTCCACACCAACGTGCAGCATTTGGGAGAACACCTGTTGTCAACCATCCACTGCATGTTAGGGTTTCATTAAAAAGGCTCTCAGTGGATGAAGTGGAGGAGGTGAACCTGTGCAAAGCGAAGGAGGTCCTTCATCACAGAGCTGTAGATCTTCTGCCTGAGTTTCAAGGCATGGGCCCATAGGGCTATACATCGCTCAAACTGGGCCATGTCTGCACACACTGCACCTCTGTGCCAAAAACCAATGACAAATTAATGCATTTCTGAAATGGATGCATTGAGAATGTTGAATAGAAGCTTAATTCATACCGGTAGATTATGGGATCAGTGAGTTCTGGATTGTAAGGTCCAAGAATCCTTTCCCGAATAACCAGGCTTTCCATGTGAAGAGCATCTGTATCAAACTGGATCTGCTCCAACTCTTCCAGAGTTCTTGATTCCTGATGGAAGTCATATGCCACAATCGGATCGATGAAGGGTTTTTCTACAATGCAGCCAGGATCACTCAAGCGCTCTTCCATTGCTGAAATGTAGGGTTCAGAACTGGTAAATTCCACTGAAAATATCAATGGTAAGAATAGTTTTTATTTCTACAGCTGCCAGTTCCTAAAATTGAATTTAAAAAAACAAACCATTTACTTCAATGGTACAGTCCATTAATTCATGTGTGAGATTGTCTTAAAACTATCAACTCCAACTGGTGAAAACATGTAGCAGGGCCAATCTTATTGATAAGGAATTATTGGAACATGAAGGACACAGGTATTTTCTTTGGCTACCTCTTATATATGCAGATCTGCACCTGCTTTGCAGCATTCTGGAAGCCAAGGTCCTAGCTTTGTATGAATGGTACTGAAGTTAAAAATGGCTTTTCAAGCAAAGCAAGCATATGGAGAACCACCATGAGATTCACAAAGATCCTGGGAGCAAATTTGCTCTTGTGAATCACCTTCCATGAAGAGCTTCTGGCGTTTCTGCACTTTGGGACTCCAATCTTTAATAGAAGTAAAATGCTTTCTTCCAATAATGCCTCTTCTTTCTTGCGTATTGGACTTGCATCATACCACTTTTTGACTATTTTTATTAATAACATTACCATTAGAAGAGAATACAGCAAAACAGTGATCTCATCTGAACTGATTTATTTCATTAAAAAAGTCAAAATTGATTGTATTTTGAAATAAATATTTAGCTTATGTCCCCATGATAGTTTTGGCCTGTAGAAGAAAGAGAATTGGATAAGTAAACATGTCAGTCTTGCTGCCGAGGTTAGGATTTTATTGAACTCAGGGAGGTGGTAAAATAGACATGGGAGATGAAGGTATTCTTGAGCTTTCTGCCTTGAGAAGTTTTGAGATCCCTATAACCCCTTTTCATAGTTAATGGCTATCCATACTGTTTTGGATTTGAGAGACAGGCTATGACTATTTTCAATGTATATGAGACCAGTTACTAATTTTTCTGCAATTTTTGTTGAACATCCTGATTTGGCTAGATTTTTAAATTCTTCCTTGACTTTTACCAGCAAAATTTAAAAAGAGTGCTTGCCTAGGACATTCAAAACCTTCCAAGCAATGAGCATACTCTCCCTCTCCCAGTGGAAGTCTTGAATGAAGGCAGAATGAAGTTCTAGCTAAACACAGGTCCTCACCTTTCTTGAGGTAATGATAAGCCAGAGAAGGGTGGTAATTATCCTTGCTGTTGGCAAATGAGGCACCAAGGAGCTCTAGGGCCTCTATGCGTCGTTCTTTGTCAACCTCAGGCCGCTGGATGAGGTAGCGGACAACAGCCTCTCGGGTACGTTCAGCAGCTGTAAGCAAGGGTGTCATCCCATGCTTGTTGTATGTCATCTCTGCTCCATAGGTCATGAGTTCAGACACTATCTCCACATGCCCACATCCAGCTGAGAAGTGGAGGGCTGTAGCACCACACTTTGCTTTCTGGTTTGGGTCGACACCACATTCCAGGAGATATCGCACTATTTCCAAGTGTCCACTGAAAGCACAAAAACTTGTTTTTGAGCTGACTACAAGATAAGCACAAGGAGAAATCTACATGCTGAAATCCATTAATTGGAATATTCAAAAGGAATTAGGAGGCCTAATAGCTTTAGCTCAATGTTCCACAAATAATAATGCTAGGGAAAAGTCAGTTATGCACTTCCTATCTTCAACTTATACCAAACTACATCAAACTTAATAGATATAGGATATCTTTCTGTTATGCCTATTATGCATATACTAGAGAGAGATTAAACTTATATTATCGTTCATACTAGACTTATGCAAATAGGAACTAATTCCAATGTGGCTTCTGGGACTGACCGAAATGCACTTATCATGAGGCAGGAGTTATTGTACTTGTTTGGAAGATGAACATTGGCCTTGTGTTCGACTAAATACTTCACAATGTCCAATCTACCATCAAAACAGGCTGCTCTCAAAGGTGTGGATTTTGTCTTTGTTGAGTGATTCACATCTGCTCCAGCTCGCACCAGTGTTTTCACCACCTTCAAGTGACCAGCTCCTGGAAATGGTTAGGAAAACCATCAGGACTACAACCAATCTCACAAAATTGAAACACAAGTGTGTTGATGATGAACATCATCTTTCATTATAGTACAAATGGAATCTGGAAATTTGATTTAATAATACACTCTTCTCCACAGTACAAGGTATAGCATAGAATGCAAGTCCCAACATCTCTCCAAAAAGGGAAAGGAGCACTTGGCAAAAAGATTCTTAAATAAAGGGGTCTAATATAACTGGAGGGAGAGGTTCTCACCAGCTGCACACCACAAGGCACTGGCACCTTCTATGGTATTTCCCTCAAGCTTCACTGTGGCCTCCTGCTCCAGATCAGGCTGGAATCGTGACAGGAGGAGCCGGACAACTGTGTCGTGTCCATTTCGAGCCGCTATGATGAGAGGTGTGCATTTCTGGCCATCATCCTCAACATGCTATGGGATCAATAACAGCTTTTAGACTCCTCAAAAGCTAACTATCCAAAGCTGGTTCAACCATGGTTCAACATGGAAGGAATAAGATATGGTGATCAAACCTGAGAAAGGAGATTGCAAATTTCTTCTTTCGTATGAAGACCAGATCTCCCAGGTGAGTTATCATTGAGGAGTGCACAGAGCGAATATGACATTCCATCCCTTGCTGCATAATATACCTTCACAGCTTGATTGTAAATATTTCCTGGTAAAACTTGATTTTCATCATCCATTTTCTCTTCTTTCATGCATGAAATGATAAAAACAATCTAAAAACCAGAATATTTTGCAGAAACTTCAGCATTTAAAAAATAACACTTAGCCTAAATCTACATCTACCTATGTCTCACATTCATTCATGAAGTTTTATGGTTTCATTATCTCTGGATTGAGATAGAATAACCATGACTTAATGTAGCTACTTTTGAACCAATTCTATTTTATTAGGTAAATGATTAAAAACTTATTGACTCTTCAGATTGAGGCATCCTTGGCAGTTGTCTCAGTGCACACATTTAGTATGTCTTTAAGGGGCATCAAAGAGCAAGGAATTAATTTTTACATCCCATCAAAGATAACTAACAGTTGGTCTATGTACTTTGGGATACACCCAAAAGCATGCACCCAATGAAGAGAAATGGGAGATTCACTACACTTATCGCACCAACAATAATGGATTACAGCTTTAAAGCATCTCTACTGTAGAGATGTCTAATACTCTCATTGGCAATGGATGGCATCCTCAAGCTTCAAAATTCACATAGCATAAAGGTGCATTATGACTTTTATGCAATGGCCTAATGTTACATATACTGGTGTTACTGTCCATTACTATGCTGTCCATACATTCTACAGTAACACACAATTCAATATGATTAACATGTTGACTGCTGTGGCCTTTTTTTGCACATTGCAAAATCCTTTTTCTACAGAGTTGGCTGAAGAAAGTAAGTCATTTAAAATTTAATGGAATGTTGGTTAACACGTTTGTCAAGGGCTTCCAAAATTTCAGACACACACCCATGCTTGAGTTAAGAAAGATTTTTTCAATAATTGCCAAAATTCTGAGTGAACAGGCATGCAACTGCCAACCCTGTAGTACATAAGAAATTGGCCAACGCTGGGTTGCCAATTGGTGCCATGATTCGTGATCTTGAAGTGCAAAACCCACTTTTGTACAATTTGCAAGAGTTCCTTGTGTATCATAAATGCCATGTTATGCAAAGCTTGGATGAGAAATTGCACTTTCAAAAGATTTTAATAGATATTGTGTAACATTTGTGAACATAGCCTCTTCTCCTATTTACAGTATACATCCTTTTTGAGGACACAGCACAAGCGCCTACACCTTCCTGCAAAAATCAATATATATACAAGCATATAGAAGTAAAAGCATAGTTCAGCCCACTGGTGAATCTAATGGCATTCAACCTGTAAAATGCGACAAGGTACAGGGTGTAAAAGCAACTCTAACGTTAGGTGCATAACTGCGCCCTGACTCTGAAAACTAGCTAACTCACCCTCCCATCTAAATCCTCAAGCAACTCATCACTACCGTTACCCTAACATGTCACAGGGAACGATGACATTTTTTTTTCTCAGGCAAATAAGTCTCACATCATAAATAGTGCAATTGAATATTACAAAAGGCTTTAGTTAAGGACTACATCTGGTCACCATCGGCTTGGATCCATGTATTGCCTGGGCACGACATTAGCAATAGATCCCAACGTTAGGCTTGGCTTTTCATAGGTATTATAATCAAAGCAGGATTATATACTAGCGTAGTGAAGATGTGATTCAATGCTGGATGCATTTTCTTGCCAAAACTTCTCAATACGCCAGGCGCCACATCCGTTGGACAGACAGCCAAAGAAGCTTAGGCTCAACACAATCGTCCAACGTGGTATACTTTGAGCAAGGGGCCATGTTGGATTGCTTCGGTATCGCCGTCTCGAGCCAGATTCCTAATACACGCCGCATATTCCACGAGATTCGTTCATGCCTAATGAAAGTTCAACTCTGAATGATGAAACTTTTGATATAAAACTTTAAAGCACATGTCCAGGAAAAGTTATTATCAGAAAACGAGTCCTGTTAGGTAACGACCTTTAGTGACGGGCGAGAACGAATACCAGCTATTTCAGAGAATCTGACAACACTGCTAGAATCTATTGGCGCGTATATTTCACGTGCGGCAAGTTACTCACGTGTTTCTGTTCCTCTGTTGGGGCGCTTGCATCTAGTTGAGAAAAAAAGTTTATCTCCCAACACTTTTGACTCACACTTTGGCCAAGACTCACCCTTCACTCTTCACCATGGCAATGTTGGATATGCGAATGGACGAACTATTCAGCGATCCCGATGATCCTGATCCGTATGAAAATGGAGGAAGCGAAGGAGAGGAACTTGACGTGGGGCGAGCAGGGACGAATAAAGACGACGAAGCCGTGGAAGTTCCCGAACCTTCCCAGAAGCGAAGAGTCGCCCCCAAATCTCGAATTGTCAAGAATCCTCAGCCCAAGCTGAATGAGGAACGGTAGGGTCTTAGCCAAACAACCTATTTATCCCATAGTTTCCATAGTTGAACTAGTTTAAAAGAATGTTTTTGACCTCAGAATTGTGTCTTCAAAGGTTGATCTTCCCACCCCCTAAGTCCTGTTTATTTGCTTTTGATGCATCATGATTCTCACACTTGCTACACACCAAAGAGTTTTCCCTACAATTTTTGAAGGTAGGAAGAAAACCAAGGTAAGTTACGAGAAAAAGTCTTATTCCTCATAGGTTGTGTGGGGAACGAGGGATTTCAGCCTTGGCAGACTATTTCAAAGATGTGCATTTCAAGGGGAAGAACCATGAGAAAGAGGACTTGGATCTCATACTGAAGAAACTGGAACACTGGGCCCATAGGCTCTTCCCACGAATGGCCTTTGATGACTGTCTGGAACGCATTGAACAGCTTGGAACCAAGCGAGCTGTCCAAGTTTGAAAACTTCTCTTCTGCTTCCATTTCCTTTTTTAATTGAGCAACTGACAGTTGTCTTCTTTCTTTTACAAAATAGACTGCTGTTAAGAAGATCAGGTCAGGTATGTCCCACCCAACTTCAAGTGAAGCCCAGGATAATGCAAATGTGGATGTATTTGATGAGATCTTGCAACAAACTCAAACCACTATTTCAACCCCATCAACCATGGTGAGTTTTTGAGATGAACATATTGCATGTCAAACATTAATCCTGAGCCTTATCATCATAGGTCTTCATGAATTTTGCAATGTAGGGTGACATGACCAATGAACAGAGGGAGAGAATGGAACATAACAGGCGAGTGGCTGAGGAAAAACGTCACCGGCGACTTCAGTTAGCCCTTCAGCTGCAATCAGCACAAGACTCTGAGCCAAATGTAAATGAGTGTCAAGATACTATTGATGGTGAACCAAGTCAAGTTGACACCATGCATACCATCACAGGCCTGACTGCTTCAGTTGCAGCAAGAGATATAGATCAAGAAAATCACAAGCACCAAGGGGCAGCCTCTCTGAAAGAAAACAGTGAAGACATTGCATCATCACTGGCTGATGATGCAGCAGTGGTATCAGCTGATGATGAGAACAATGATTTACAAATTGATGAGACTGAGAAATGTGAATTCACTGAATTAAACAAATCTTATCAAGGACTTAGTGATTGATTGGTTAATTTGGGATTTTAAGCTTTATAATAATTTCTTCTTGTGTCATGAGTTTCAGCAGTTGATGTGTTTCACTTTTTTCTCCAGTATGCCCAAGGATGAAAACTGAATAAAGCTATCTAATGTATGAATTTCCTGCAAGTACTGAGGGACTTTCAATAAAGCAGGGATGTCCAAAGTTTTGTCAAGTAAATTTTTCCATGTCAATCATGATTTCTATGAACTTCCAGAGCTGTCTTCCTGTAAAACTTTTCTCTGAAAATCACCTACACTGATTTATGGCTCCATGACAGTCAGAAAAGACATGCGAAGAACTAAAACCTGCAAGAAAAGATTTGGTCCAGAAATCCCTATATCATCTAATTAGGGCCCTTCATGGGCTGCAAGCTGGACCTATTGGCCTGACCTGACCTGACCCAATCTGTGGGCTATTTCAGGCCAAAATTCTGGAGGTTGGGATAGGCTGAATTTTTCTCATGCTTTTCTTTCAAATCTCTCCTCTGGGCTGGGATATCGCTTTTTGTCATTATAAAGGAGATAATCTTTGATCAATGAGCCTGCAATGACTGGTGGCATTGTAAGTGTTTCTATGGCTCCTGCCCTGTTGGCCACAGCTATGGAAGTTGGTTATTGGAGTTGGGTGTGGCCTGCAGGAGGTGAGTGAAAAATGGAAATGGCCCTCACAGTCTTTATTCCCCTCTGTCCTTAGAAAATCTTATCCCCTACACAAAATAGCTGACCCCACATCCACTGCATTAGACACTATGTCTCAAGAGGTTGCAGGTGCCCCAAGAATGCACGAGAATGAATTGTGTCTTACTACATTAATCCCTGACAGCATATATTAAAACTTTTCAGCAAAGGAATTGGTTTCACATGGAGAATAAAAGTGAAACTGACCTGAGTGGATTTGCACTGTTTTTTTTTGGCTGAAAACTAAATGTAAACCAAGATGCTACATCAGCCTTTGAGTCTGAATTGCAACTGGAATAGAAAAACATTATTTTGGTTCTAGGAAGTCAAAACAAGTTCTAGTTGCTGAAGTTAGTGGGAAGTGTCTCTACTCTGGGAGAGAGAGGAGAAGTCATGCTTTCTACAGCATCCTATCAACTTTTCAAACTAGCCACATAGCAATCTGAGGACTAACATGTTGAGCTTCTGGAAAAAATTGCACTTCTTTTCATTTCCTGGATTATGCATGTGCAGTCAACTCTTGATAACTGCCACTGTTGGTCTCATCCAATTTTTGACACTATATCAAGGGTATTGCTAAATCAAAATGCATGGTTTTAAAATTGATCAATTTCTCCCTATTATTTATATTAAGTAGCATAAATTTTCACTTCAATCCATGCAGAATACACAGCTTTGAAAAATGATTCTATGTATTCTATCCATGATTAAATCCAACCATTTTTTATTTTAATGAGTATAACTCCTATGCACCATCTGCTCAAATTATTGCCCCAAAACACAGGAAAATTGTTCACAAAGTTTTTCTGACCTTCAACCATATACCCCTCCTAATGGCACACTTCCAGTTTTTCCTTCACACTTAAAACCATTCTTTTTCTCATCCCTGGATAGTGAGTAAATGTGAACTGTTGGAAGGAGAAGCTGTGTGCAGTCTGAATGAGACATTTCCATTCCCCAAAAGTGGAGACAAGAATAGGATGGATTCTGTGACCCTATATGCCCCCCTCTAATCCCTGCAGGTCCATTCTAATGCTAAGATATCTCTCACAATCTTGCTCTCATATCAAAGGAGGAGCTGGCAGCCTTAAATTTAATATGCAGTGCAACAATTGCAGCAGATACAGTATGCTGCCTGGTGCAATATTGAGTAAGACTTATATAGAATATTACACATTTGTACAAGTGAAGGTGTTGGCAATGGCAGCTAGCGAGGGTGGCACTATATCAAGGGTTGACTATAAGGAATCCCTTTTCAGCTGATATTATCACTTATTTTCTTCCTATTTTCATGTTATTTTCTCCAATTTTAAAAGCCTTTTTTTCAGGTAATGGAAAATTTTTTCTTTCCATTTCACCATCAGAGCATACTTTTCAGGGATAGAGGTTTTCTTTTTTTATTGATAAATAGAAAATAGGGCTTACTTATTTTTATTCACTTAATGTAGTCAACCCCTGCCTCATCCTGAAATATATATTTAAACATTATTTTTGGGGTGGACATGGAGTCAAAGCAAATATGGCATGACATGAATGATGAAGAAATCTATCACACTGATCATGGCATTGAGCTTTTTGGGATGAAAATATCCATGAACTCATGTGCAACAAGGATTTATTCCTAACTACAAAGCTAGGAACAGTGTAAAATAGAAAATAACCACTCAGAAAAGCAGAAACACTCAAACATAGAATGAACTGAATTCATGACTAGAAAATATCAAATCCAAATAATGAGCCAAATAATCCAAGGAATACCTGGTATGTAACTGTGAACTGGGAACAATGGCTACATGGTATGAGAAATGAATGGAAAATCACTGGTAATTAGAAATGTAAAAGTGGTGGAAAATGAAATGGGAGTAATGAGTTAAAGGTATTTCAGAAAGTGATAAACATATATATTAGAAATAGGTCTATAGAAATGAAAGAAAATGCTGATACATGGAATTGTAAAAAAAAGAACGAGTGAAATCTACATCTGGAGCTGCTTATTCTTCAGATCCCTTCTTCTCATGATGGCGAAGATGACGTATAAGATGAGCACTTTGCAGGTAAGCCTTACCACACTCATTGCACACATGTGAACGTTCTCTGGTATGTACAACAACATGGGTCTTGGCATGAGAAGATGTGGGACTTTTATAAGGGCAAAGCTGACAAAAGTAGACTTTATTTCTTCCTTCAGTAAGGGTTCGGCCCGACCAGATGTACTTGACAAAACTGGTCACTGTCTGTAGGAGAGATGAAACCAAAAATGAATCAATCAGGTGCAATCCAAGGATAAAATCATGTTCAATACTTCACCTGGACTAAAGAACTTAAAAAATCATGGCACATATCTGATGATAAGTTTCATGAATTTACAATTGTACAGTGTGTTTCTGTATAAATCCTGGATTTGTTTTTTGAATAACTTTATTTTTACTGCACCATTTCAGCTTGTTGAGATCTCAATCAAAAGAGGAGGATTTTCCATTTTATGCACACTTTCAACTTTATTGATTGATGCAGTGAGCATTGAGACACCTCTGTTGGCATGCACACTGCTTATTTTGTTATGCACCACTGTAACACAGCACACCTGACCACCCTTTCTGTCATGTTTCATTGCTCATTTGTGGCTAAAGTGTCACCTCCACAATCATTGATTCGACAGCAGCATATTTCTTCTCATGGGGCTTCGTGAAAAGCAAGGTTTACATTGTCAACACCAGTGATCTGGACAAGCTCAAATGACACATTGTCAATGTCTTCGTAGAGATTGCATCAAATATGCATGAGAACACCCTTCCTACTGCCAAAGGCTATGCAAGTCCATCCAAAATAACAGAGGATGTGTTGAACTTTGCACTCATGTTGTCTGTGTTTTTGTTGTATTAAAACCAATAAAATGGTCACCTTTTTGTGAAAAAGACTGAAAAAAGTGGTGTTTACACCATCTACCATATCTGTATTTGTACTGTTGTACTAATCAATCAAGTTCAAAGTGTATATATTGATAAAATCAGAAACACTGCTCTTTTGAATGAGACCTCAACAAACTGAAAAGGTGCTGTATAATAAAAGTTATTCAAAAAACAAATCTGGGCTTTATATAGAAACACCCAATGCAAATGATATTTTGTATGCCTTCTTAGCTATAGCCTTAACTCACTTCCTGGTTTATTCAACAATTTTTTCTGACTCCATTGATGGGCACTATCTGGTAGGTGAACATTCACCAAGGAGGAGAACAATCAGCTTTATCAATTGCCACTTCCAGTGATGCATGGTAAAGTGGTGTTCACTCCTGACATGAATGGCAATCTGGGTCCTAACATTTGTAGCATGACACAAGTACAAGGCAATAAAGAAATAACTGATGTATTTGTTTTCTTTCCTTAGCCCTTTGGTGTTGGGGGAGGCAGGGCTTAACCATCCCCACAGCGGTTTGCTAAATCAACCCACTGGATTTGCAAAATAGTTATTGGAATGAATACATTGAAGTTGATGCATGAAAAATATTATGGCCATATTCACCATAGTTTGGCCACAGTGGAATATCAAAGGTCGATGTCCAAGTCAGTCTTGCAGTGCAAGTTATTCCAATGTAAGGTTTCCTGGGTTCAAATCTGGTTAATCTAAAGTGGTTGTTTTGATATTTATCACTAAAGAGGATTGTTATCTTATCACCAAAATCACTTTTAATTATATATATCCACATTTTCCCCACACAAACAGATGCAAGAGATGCCAGAAACCTCTAGATAAAATTTCAGGGAAATCCCTTATACGCAACGGATTTAATCAAACTCACGTAAATATACATCAGCCACACTAACATGTGGCAACTGGGGCTTAAGGTTTAAACAAGTATTTACATGTTTAAAAAAGAAGATATTTGAATTCAACAAAATTGGGAGTTTATTCCATACCAAATATAAGTACCTTTACCATCAAATTTATTAGTCATAGACTTGAACAAATTAATTTTCATTTTCAACATATACTAGCCACCAGTGCACAGTCTCATAAGCAACATTACAGAAATGTCTTAGGATTAACACTTTCAATCCGATGGCCATAACTGTACGTCCAGTCCTAACTACCATGATGATGATGGTGGATGTAATAGTAAGTTCTTTAAAATTGTTCTGATATTGAAATAATTTAACACGATAAAGTAAAGAACTCATACTTCAATTTCCAAGAAAGAGCAAGTCTCTATCATTTTGCATTCCAAAGTTACGAATTCTTTGGTAGACCTCAAAATAACCTCAGTCACCAACCCTCCAGAGCAAAAGTGTTAATTACTTGGACTTCTTTGGAGACTCATTTCTCCATTTCTGACTATCAAGCTTTGTGGCAAAGACTTCGATCTCATTAATCAACCCAAGACCTTCACACACCTGAGTGTGAAGCGCTCATGTCAAGGGTCCCTGGCTACCCATCCATCTTTCTGAAAATGCTGCTTTGCCCCATAGTTCCCCAGACTCCTTTGGATTTTCTTCTGTGAGTACATATCAAGATTAAAATTTATGCCACAAAGTGAAATTGTCTTAGTTATCTACAGGAAGGAATCCACAAGGAAGTTTGAATTATCAAAGCTCTTATGTACAAATGAGACTGTGTATAAATGACTGGGATGTGTTGAAAATGGTGCACATGTTCTAATCTATTACTAGAAGACTTACGGGTAAATGTGCCAATTCTTTGTAAGGGAAAAAACCTCAAAGTTTACAGAATTCAGATATTTTGTTTTCTAGAGCTGTCTATCCTTGTTTCTGCAAAATAAATAAAATAGAAATAAATGTATTGGTTATTTCTGAATTACTCCGAACTTGCACAGCCAAGAAAGTCTTCCTACTATACTAGGCACTTTTTTCCCTTTCTTTTTAAACCCCTGCAGATTTCATGCTTACAGAATTCCTGTATTGAGACAATTATGATGCAATGCTCACAGTGTTGAACATTCTAAGTGGAGCTTTTCATAATATCCAGCCTGTTTGGCAAAATGGAAATGTGAATACCTTCAACATAAAGTAGTTCAAGTGAGGTTTCTCCTATCTCTTCACTTTGCTCAACTTTTCTCTCTCCCTACCCTGCTATCACTTCATGTGGGAGGATAGCCATGTGTCTAGAGAGGCCCAAACAGTAACTCAAGCATGTATGCATATCTGCCAACATAACTGTGTGAACAGGCAACACTTGCTAACCTACCTGACAAATGATAGAAATTCCAATCCAGCTGCTGAAGAATGTGATCTTCAAAATAATACCCATTTGCACAATTCTGCAGACAGGATTCTATTATCTTACCATGCCAACAGGGGTATGTTCTAAGTTTGAGTGCTCTCCCCATTTACTTTCACCTTGGTCTCTTCACATGTCCTCCCCACATATCATCCGTAAGTACATGAAGTCCTAGAGGCATTAATTCAATCCTATGCCAACTTAAAAACTACACATCTGTAATTTCTCACCTTGAACAGTGATCAGAACATGAAAACTGCAGTTGAATTCAGAAAAATTATCCTGACCAAAAAGGGGCTCAACTATAGGGTTGATGTTCAGAACTGTTGGAGTAGAGGCAGATCCATTGAACCTTCAAAATCTGAAGTATTCATGAATATATCTTAACAAACTTTTGAATTTTAGGGAGCAAGACCAAGCTGTTTACAAGAAATGTTAAGCAAGATCCACCCACAGTGTAAACTTAATGTGCAGTATCACCAGTTCCCTAAATGCAGTCATAATCTTTCTCACTGCCAGTGTAGTTTTTAAATAGCATGCTTTTGCCACTGTAGGCCATTTTTCTCACTAGGGACTCTGATGTTTTTCCAGAGGTTACTTCAGAGGTTGAACTCCATCTCTATTCCTGGATAAGACATCAATCAAATCATACTGATAAACGTACTCACTCCCTCCTTCTGCTTACACTTTTTATTGATAAAATAATCTGGAAACTCTTAACAAAATCATTCTCCCTCAAAAAAAAATATACTTTTTCAGGCAATAATTTCCCTTAACAGCAGGGTGCCATGAGGATTTTTTTCATTTTTAGAAGGAGCTGTTTTTGTCTGATGCAATAATTTGACCTCCAGTTCCACTTCCATAAATGCACCTCCTGCTCAGTGCCATATGTGCAAGGGCAACTAATTAAGCTGAGCTTGAGTATGGTAGATCACCCTTTAAGAAAGAAGATGGAGAGCAAGAGAGGATAGACTAGAACTTACATAGGCTATGTTACATTAGAGGCAAAATCCTATGCTTTCCCTTGCCCTTCATTGAGACTATTCACAACAATCTTGTGGTAACAAGGGACAACAATGCCACTTTCCATTCTAGTGTCAGGATTATAATCCTAACTATTCAACTAGAAACAAATAAAGATCTTAATTAACATCACTAGTTGAATATGGTGTGGAAAGTGGAGATGAGTTACAAGGAGGCAGCTAATGGTAGATCCTGGTAAATAGCTGGGATTGCAAAGTTTCCTGAAGGCTATTCACACAATGAAGTGAAAGCAATCAATAAAGCTTGGATTGGAAATTGCAACACTAAACATGAAGCTGAGTAAATTCAGTGCCTTGCTGACACAAAAATAATATGATTTTGATAGTGCTCTGATTTCCTTCCAAATACCAAAAATGCCCATTTTTTCTGCAATGGTTTGTAAGCTTTCACTGGGAAACTAACACCGTAAGAATTTTGAACATTCATGGATCTGCCCAATAGTGTGTGAAAAAAGGGAAAACTACTTAATTGAAATGCAAAAGCATTAACCACCAATACTGATATGTGCCATGGATTTCCAGTGAGCCCTTGTTAGAGAATGAGGCGAATATCCTCACCACTGGATCAACATCAGGTGGAATATTCTCAGGGATGCTTGTGAGATTTTCAACACTCTGAGAGCCCACTTCCTCCTGAAAAGTTTTAAACCTCAATCTGAATACAATAAGCTGTGATCACAAATAAATACATCATGAAGTCAATTGCTGTCACTGTCTTCTGTGGGTACATAACAAAATATCATTAATTACATTTCTTCAAATGCCAGCAGAATAGTCATACACATAGGGATGAAGAATCATAGAAGTTTAAGACACATAGAAGTTTAAGGGATGAAGAATCATTCAGAGTTGAATCATCCCCCTTCAATTCATGAATTTCTGTTTAGTTGCTCTAAAACTTTTAAACAATGCCACTTGGGTGTTCAACATGTACCAATTAAAACTTTCTGTTCAGGAATCTTTCTTCATCTCTAGGGAGCACCTTGATATCAACAATGGCTGAAATTTTAGGAACTCCCTCTACTACTTTTTTCATCACCTTCAATACTGCATTTGCATTAGTTATGTCAGGTAGTTGACAAGTTTGATTTTCTTCAAATACAAAGTCATCATAGTCCACTTGGTATTCATGATGAGAAATAATATTCAAGGAACTATAAGACACAACTAAGAGGAGTCCCTCACCTGTTGATTTGTTCCTGGCTGAAGGCACATATCCAGGTTTTGCAGCACCATGAAGTCCCTTTCTTCATCCTTGGCAGAGAAATCAAGCAGGTAAGACATGACAAGACCTGACCCCTTAATAAGAGATCAGAAAGGCACACTATCATAAAGTACAAGAGTGAAATGAGAGCAATGTAAGACAAAAGTCTGTCAGAATTGGTTTTAACCCATCCACCTACCATTTTTTTTTGGTACATGTAACTATGAAATACCATTTAATTCAAGGAAAATGTCCCTTGTAGAAGCACTTGTGTGCCATCTTTTGACAATATCTTTGAACTACTTGCAATTGTAATCGATCAAACAGAACTCTGAACAGGACTGTTGAAATGATGATTAGGTAAGCCAAGAGACAGTAAAGCTAGGTTTTTGATTAGATGGCTGGGTAGGCTTATGGGTTTACCATAAGATGCAAATGGTGAAAAACTGCTAAGACGTGGTCAAAATTGTCAAAATCAAGAACTGTGAGCAACCTTTAAAATTATTCAAGGGCATTGGAAAGAAAAATTTGCCAATAGATTTAAAGCTAACTGTAAAATGTGGCTGTCATCTGTTACTCTGTATTCCTGATTTCACTATAGGTGAGCTTGCAAACAAATCAAATGTTAAGGTGTAGTGTGAACCACAACATGAGAACCTCCATTCTGTAAAGTCAAAGCTGGTTTATCATGGAGGGCCAAGGATTGTGCATAGCTGGAAAACTCTTGACACTGTGTGCCTGGTACCTCAGAAGGAAGTAAACCTTAGCTCTGCTTTTTTTTTTTCAGGGTTGAGAATTTTTTCCCTCCTTTGTCAAGTGTTAATCATTTCAGCTTACCTCATCAGGCTTTGACTAGTTACATACAAGTCATTTTGCCAATAATAACTTCCTCCAATCCAATTATTTATTCTATATTCTTAATAAAATGTTTTAAGAATAAAAGTTGGTTAAAATCCAAACTGCAAAGAAGCAAAAAATCTCATAACTTAATGGATATTACATTGGTTTACCTGTCCACCTTGATATTGGTAATAGTTTTATTCCCAGCTTGAAGCATTTTTTGACATATGGGCCTTGGTTTTATTCGGATTCAAAACCCTACTTCTCCAAATCAATATTACTTGCCAGCACATGATGCAAATCAAATCCCAAGGTACAATTTAAACCCTTTCAGTCCTGAATTTTGTTCTAGGCATGGAAAAAATATTACATACTTTTTGGGCTTCAACCAGGCTTATGTAACATAAAAGTGCTTTTGAAATGGTTTCCTCAAGTAAAATTAAATATTTTCATTTTAACTATTTGAAGGAATTAAATAAATTAATAAAATCTTGCTATTTATTTAGTTCAGCTAGAACTCATATCCCTGTTATACATCATGTTTCCCAGTATTTCTGTACTACTTTTCATTATCTAGCTTGCAAATACATAAAAAAAATTGGCCGAGAAAGAGTAATCTTGGCTGAAATAAATATAAATGATACCATTTTTGAAGTGCCAGAGGAAATATAACAGCTTTATATTACTATGGACTGCTGTCAAATTGAAAACATATGGTGAACTATTATAAACAAGGACTCAGAATCCTGCCATAGCCTCAAGGTTGTGCATACCTATGTAGCTCCATAACATATATAAAGAAATTGTGGGACTCCTGAGTCCACCCAGGACTGAAAGGGTTAAAGCAGATCTAAATATAATTATGATATGATATTGTCAACCTTTCTGATCACTATCAAGAAGCAGATCATAGAAGGTAGAGCAAATCCTCACCATTCAAGGATTCTTCATATCCCATATCTCATAATTTTTTCCTATAAGCCCTTAGTATCAGCATTCACAGTTTCCCCACATATGGGTGTCTCACAAATGTATTTCCCACAAATGGTGAGGGCCTGCTGTACTATCAACAGTATATAAGGATCTCCATAGCCCATTTTAAACCTGTGTTAACCTCATTCTCATGACTTACCTGAGAATTAGTATCCTGAATGGAGATGCCATGTATTTTTTCCTCCTGCACCAAATGGCCAGGATCCACAAAACCTTTCAATCCATCCAGAGAATTCCCCATCTCTTTCTTTGCAAGGTCATAGGATGCCCCCTCTCTTCTATTTGATTCCTACATTGATTACAGAAGACTCTCGTGAATGGACATGCAAGAAGTCTTAGGCTTACTACTGAATGCATCACATTCACAATTTACAAGGTGAGTAGGACATATTATGGACATCAGAACATAGTAGCAGAATATACTTCCTCATATTGCCACTGCAATTCCATATCAACTTAAATGGAGATTTTAGTTTAGAAAAATGAAAGTATGTACAGGACTGCAATGACAAAAAATGAGATCCACACAAGTCAATGATAATACCAGTAGAGGTAATACCACACCAACTATCATGCAAATGGGGTTTCTGCTATGCTGAAGGGATTAGGTTTCATTCTCTAAGGAAAGCTTGGAGGAAGAGTTAGTCAGGAAGTGGAACTGTTCGTGCAGGCAATAACCACCAATTGAAACTTGGAACACCATATTTTACAGTATTTTAATGGACATGTTGGTACTCAAGAGCTATATATTGTAGTGTATGTTGTATGTTGTAATGCTGTATATACAATGAAATGCACTCAAGCAACCAATGAGCAACACAATGAGCTACGAGGCATATATACCAACCATGAAAGACACCTTCTTCTTCAAAGATTTTGTTGAGGGAGATTTAGAGATAATCCCTTGGACTTTGGTCTTCTTGGCATAGAGTACTTCATGATGAAAGACATCTGACTGGTTGAAGGATTTCCTCTTGTGAGCCAGGGCTTCATGGATATCAGAGACAGGGATTATGTTCCTGCTAGAAGGACCACTCTGAAAATTTGTTTTCTGGAGTCCATTCACTTCTAGCGCTTTAGCCAGTTCAAGAAACTTATCCAGATCTTTCTGATTGACATTTGCTTCACCCGTGTACAAAAAATGTACCAAGAGTTTCATGAGGTGGATTGGCACCCCAAAGAAGTACATGATGGGATTGGCATTTGCATCGTGCTGAAGGGTACGTTTAAAAAATCCAGACCTGGCACAAAGGACCAGCTTGTGAGCCCTGAACACTTGTCCATCACAAGACAGTGTTATGTCAACAAGGGTCTCTTGATTCAGGAACTGATTGAAAGCAGCAAAGGCACCTGTACATTGGGTGCTCCATTCAAGGTTGCTCTCGACTGCCATGTCCTCAATGTCTTCAAAAGGATGGAAAATGAATTTCTCACAACAGGCAGCACCAGACCTGCAGAATAAAACTATTAAATGCTTTCCCTCGTATATGCCTCCACTACTCTCTAGACAGAAGGCTAAACACTACTAAAATATGACCTAAACATGACCAAACATGAACTAAACTGTTTACTTTGTGTCATGACTACTTCTGGATAGTTCATGGTTTAAGGTAAACATGGACTATTTTTTAATTATTTTCAACACTCACTTGCACATTTTAAGGATTTTGTGACTGATACAGAGGCAAAATAAAATTAAAATAGCATATATGGGCCATATGGTCTTGATAGCCTAGGGAATAAGTGGAAAGGTGATATTCATAAAATTGGCTTGTTTTGCTAATTACATATACTGCACATGGGGATGACAATCTCCTTTCATTAATACTTTGGCATTTTGTAAGAAACTATGTGAACAAGTGACTACATTTTAAAATATGATCTTTTAATTTTAAAAGATTTATTGCTCACTATCCCCCATTATGTTAGTGTTGGAGTCATCTGCAAACAGTAAAAATGTCATAATAGGGTTGGTTCTGGGTTGTTCATAAATGTATTAGAAAAGGGTTTGATATCAATAGAGGTCCCTGTGGCACCTCAGCATCAACCGGGAATTCTTGCCCTTAAGGAAACGTGGCCTTCGGATCAGACCAATAAATTGCCATCTCCTGTGCTCTCTCTCATTTTACCTTCTAGCCAATTGTTGAGCAATGTGTAATCCTCCATTCAAATTTCACTGCCAATACAACAATATTTAAATATAAAAAAAAATCACTTTCCTCCTCTCTTAATGGTCCAGATTCTATCATTATTTCTCCTGTTCAGGCGACTCAGCATGTTTAACTGCCTTTTTGAAGGATAAAGATGATGAACTGCAATTTGGCTGAGGCCTAATAACATCCGTATCTGATGAAGAAGCAAGCCGCCAGTAATTAGGGATGCTCATGAGAAAAAGGGTTGAAAGATGAGCTATGAGTCAACAGAACACTGATGGAACGAAAAAATACGTCAAACCGATAACTCGAAGATAATTCAGTACTCCCGCCATCGTGGCTATTGCATAGAATAGAGCAGTGGTGCACAACCTTTTCCCCTAGAGGGCCAAATTGAGATTTCGGCTCATGTTAGAGGGATTCGCGGGCCGCAGACCCTCGAACATGAGCCGAAATAGGCCGCATATACATTTAGATCTTTAGACACCAGAGGCATCCAAGGGGCAGCAAAAAAGGTCTCCGCGGGCCGCGTGCGGCCCGCGGCCCGCAGGTTGTGCTCACTGGAATAGAGCCATGGGTCAGATACGATACACTGTTTTCGGATTGAATTGGAGAACGGTGAAAACACAAGCTTTCCAGAATATCCTCAAGATGTCAAGCCTGATGCTCCACATGGTTGTTGGATGATTCTATTAATACTTCACCTTCCATCCACAAGGTGTCCTGCCTGTACTTGATGGAAGCGCTCCTAGGGGGGGTACCAATTCAATCCGAAAACAGTGTATAGTCCTCTTCGGGCCTGTTCGATGGACGCTACCCAATCGGGCGTACTGAGTCCCTAACCCGGGCTCGATTCCATACCCGATTTCCAACAGAACTTCATGGCCAAATCTTACCTGAACTGGTCACGTTCCTAATTCCGATGCCACCAAACCCAATCGAGATACGCTTTAAGCAGGCATCTCCATTTCCTGTTCATGAAAGGGGATAGTTATTGACGTAAGAAATCGTGCCAGAGAGGCACGATTCAGGCAGCTTGTGGCATCAGCTCCTTGCTATCGTCGATATAATTTTCACCCCTCTTCATATATTGTGACATTCTCATTATCAAACAGTATGTAAACCTAATTCCAGTCCATATACAGACCGTGGCAACAACACAGGAGTCTGAACAAAATTATCATTTAAAAAAATCTGTATGTATGGGCATGCAAGTATAAGAAGTCAAGGCAACACCTCCCCAATTTGGAGTAATTTTATTTCATAGACATGTCCTTTTCTTGGCCTTCATGTCGAGTCTGGAAAAATGTTTGCGACAATGTGCGTCACTTTCTCAGACTTTGGGAAGTGTAATGCCATTGGCAAGTCCATTTGTGCTGATTTTTTTTTGAAAATGCGCAATACCCAGTTCCTTCAGGGTTCTGTATTGCTTGCCTCATCGGCCGAAGGGTTTCATTTTAGGAAACAAGTACATGTCACAATTCTCCCAACCAGTTAGCAAAGGATGCCGGTAGATCGGGATTCTCCCGGTTTCACTGGGAGAGGGAACAAAAAAGACAGTGAAACGGAAAACTCTGGCCGTTTGCTGGTTCTGAGGCCGCGCACACTTCCAAATCCATGAGAAGGTACAGAGTTACAGCAGGGTCGGATTAAGAAGTTGCGAGGCCCGGGGCAAGTAAATTCCTGGCCCCCCCCCGCTACTTTACGCAAGTACAATACTTTTTTTTACTTAACGTTTTTAATTTCAGGGCCCCCCTGGAAGAGTGGGGCAACAGCCCCCCTTGCCCCCCCCCCCTCCCCCTTAATCCAGCCCTGAGTTACAGTGATATCTAACGTGGCATTCAAAATAGGGATAGTCAGGAGGAGGAAACATGCCAGTTGTATTACTCCCCCCGTCTGCAGAAACCTTTCACAACCGATTTAGTCCCCCAAAATGAGATCACAAGGCCTGACTTGAGGAAGAGATGGCAACCCCAACTAATGTCCAGAGAATATGATGGGTGTTTTAATGTTTCCAACCCTCAGTCGCGCAGCATTGTCTTCACACCCCCGACATGGGACCTGATTGTATCTCTTATCAACGTCATAACTTTCTCCACGATAATGCCCTGTCATGGCGACGGAAATGCGAAGACAATCACAGCAGGCAGCAAACTGCAGGGATGGGTGCGAATATGAAATCTCTCCCACCAAAACAGTTGGGCATATTCGACAATGATCCAGATCATCCGGAGGGCACAGTATCTTAGCAAACTTACTGTTACGGTCGAAGATTCTGACATGATAACAAATTATTAAAAGCGACAAAAACTGAGTCTGATCAAGGATGTGACTTTTAAGAGAGAAGTCTTGTTTTATTGGGTGTTCCTTCGTCTCCCAGATAGGTCGGACCCGAATGATTCCCGACCTCCCGTCCTGGTTATTCCCATAGAGCGTCAATAGAACATCTATGTACTACATCTAACCAAGGCCGCCCAGAGGGGGGGGGAGCAATTGGGGCAATCTGCCCCGGGCCCCTCGTATGAAGAGGTCCCAAGGGGTCTCCGGTTTAGTTTTGCCCCGGGCCCATGGAAACCTCTGGACAACCCTGGATCTAATATCTACTAACATCTATGTATGTGACATCTATGTACGCTCTATGGGTTATTCCATCCATTAACAGGCAGAGGTAGTGTTGCATTTTTCAGCGGGAAATAAGGATTCGGGGTTCGGACCCCTGGCTTCTGAGTAGATCTATCGATTAAGCTAGACAATGAGACAAATCGTTTCAGCAGTTTCTTTCCGGAATGTAGAAGGAAGGAAATGAACCAGGACGTGAGGAGCCTGGAGGCGTTGAGCATTTCACGGACAACCAATTGAAGGATTCTCCAAATTCTGTCCCCTGCGGTAGCTCCCTCAAGACTTTCATTCGAATGGCTTGATGCTCAGTAGGCACGTACAGACCGACCCCATTTATTTTGGAACTTGCGATCTAAACAACGATGGGAAACCCTGCTTTCCTATTCCATGATGCTGCACTTATAAATGAACTTGTACGTGGTAACTGATGAAAATATCCATGAATCTGCATGCAACTGACTTGATAAGCATCACTTTCTCCAAACTTCCACAAGCCAACTTACCTTGTTGTGATTGACTGATCGGCTGGCCCAGGATAAGATGGCAGAGCGAACCAACTCATTCCGTCGTTGATGACGTCATGTCTTTGACGTCGTGAACACACCCGCAAAGAAACGCCTTTGCGAGAATGCGGGGTCAACATTTGACAAAATTCGAACATGGAGCACTGGACGAATACAGTTATCTTATCATTCAATAAGAGCTACAGCCACATCCAGACAACAGAATTTTGCGAAGCGCCAAAGGAATGATGCTCATGCTTGATCAACCACGGCCAAGCAGCATCGCTTGAGTTTCTACAAGATTGTGATCGGCGCCTATGAACGAGTGACCGTAGGTCAGAAAAGGGAGTCTCCTTCGCTTATCAGTCTCAGCTTATGTTGAATGATGTAATCGACTGGCCACAATAAATATTCCCACTTTTGCTATCGGGAAATGGCGCGCATTTTCGATACTGAAGAATTGCGCAATCGCCTTGTTGGATCTCTTCGCATTGATGCATGGCTTAAAATTTCGGAAAAGGTGATTTTTTAAATAATGCCAATTCGTCTTGGAAACAGTGTACATATGGTCAAAAGATTACCGCTCCTCTGAAATTTCCTCTGTTAATTAAATTATTCAAGAATTGTGCATTTACTTTTTTTCCTAGATTCCATAGAATGATCACTCAGATGTGAAATATGCCGATGCGGAACTTAGTCATCTCTCTCCTCCTCGGCTCTGCCTTAGGTTCGTGATCCCTCTTGCGAAGCGAACTGAATTCTCGGCATGAACTCTCCCCCGTGGACCCGTACGTAACGAAACAGGAGTGCCCGCGAAGCCCTGTCAGATCATCAACGGGGAGGACGCAGAACCGGGAGAATTCCCCTACCAGATCTCCCTATTGAAGAATGGGGATGACACGTGCGGTGGGGTGATCCTCGACGAGTGGAACGTCCTCACCGCCGCTCATTGCACCGACAACGGCAGCGCTGGCGACTTCCAGGTCAAAATCCCCTTATCCTTTCGGTTTTTCTTTTCCAAAAATATGAGTATGCTCCGCAATAGTTTCTTGAAACATTTGCAGGTGGTAGCAGGTGAGTACGATAGAACGCAAGACGACGGGACCGAGGAGATAATT